TTTTGCAGTAAAGGTTGCGATTCCTAATGCAATATTATGGGAAAGCACAAATTTGTGAGTTGCTTCCTTTCTGCAGAAAGACGTCCAATTAGACAAGGACAAACTGTCCTCATATATGCAACCAAGAACACATGCTCTAATAACATTGACTACTGCTGGGCCGACCCTGTCACAGCTATCGGAAAGACGGCAACAAATTTGAATATACTTTTATATTTGATTAAATAAAACGCAAATCATAATCATCTATTTTTTTGTTCAAATCATGGCCTAATAATTTTCGTTGATATTTAAAACGAGCCCCTTGTATTACTGTAGAAAACAACATACAAAAATTCAGATTGAATAATTTTTCTTTAATTTGCATTTTACTTAACACCTAATATTTAGCGATTCAACCTTCACTTAGATAATATGAAACAACTATTCAATTAGTTACGTATATTATTTAAAGGTTTGTGTAGGTAGTTATATTAATTTTGTTGTTTATTTTGTATGCAGTATTGACGAAATTTACAGTGAAGGTTTTTTTGGGTAATTGGTTTTAATGATGCATTTACATACTGGGTGTTTTATTATGAAGTTAACATTTTTCTTTAACATAAAAATTTTATATTTTTGTGAAAGTTATCTGTAAAATTAGAAACTATTACATTTTATACAGGTCGAGTCAAAAAGTTGATCGACCCTATTTGCTGTTATTAATAACATTTTTCTGCTTGTAATAGACGACAAACGATTTTGAAATATGTAATATAGTTTATAAACCATATACAAATATACAGCATGATTCGAAAATATATAACGAGAAAAACGAGTAAAAATAATTTTTTTCCCTTTTCTCTCTATATATTAAAGTTTAGTCAGTTAAATTACGTAATTTTTTTACATTACCTTTATTTTGAGTTTACTAATAAAATATAAAAGTTTTATAAATTTGCCAGTGACCACTTTTTGAGATATGAGGTGTTGACAGATAAGAAAAATTAGACTAGTTTCCTCACCACCACAGCGGTAGAGATTTTGGTACGTTTATTATTTCTCCTCTCATTTGACATAATCAGAAATAATTTAAAATGAATTGAATTATACTTAGCTACAAACTAGTTAACAAACAGTTTATTTTCTATTAACCAGTTACCTGTTAAAATTTAAGTATATTCTGAATTATCTTTTTGTCTCTCTCTCTCTCTCTCTCTCTCTCTCTCTCTCTCTCTCTTTCTCTCCCCGAAATGTTCATCTTTCTGTTTTTTTCTTTTTACTATATTAGATTAGTTTTTAGGCTACAAATGTACTTACTTTTTAAAATGCTTTTCAACAGTACTCTTTTTGATTACATTTTTTACATGTGTTAAGAAAATATTATTGCTAAAATTAAATTATAATAATTATTTTAATGAATGGCTATATCATAGACAGGCCTCTGATGGGCCTAAATGGATTACCTTGTTTATTACTTGAGTTCATAAATTTAATCTATTTTCTCTCTTTGTAATTTTGTAACTTTATTTTGTAATAAACAATTTATTATTATTATTATTTAAATTTAAAAATCTCCTATTATTAACTTTAGGTATAGGAGGGAACACTCAACTCAAATGAAAGGATAATTAGGGTACTTTTAAATGGTGATATAAAATCCAGTGTGGTCAATTTGAGTTTTGACTCACCCTGTATAGATATGTTTGCATAAATGTTGACTATCTGTAACGTCTGGAGGGTGGGTTATCCCCACGGCACTTAAGTCTCACTAGGCACTTTGGCATCCTGCGAAGATGAGGTGCTTCTCTTATACCGGCCAGTGTTAGTTGATACTTGCCGAACACAAATCTAGTAAATGAGAGCGTCGGGCAATCGTAGAGGATATGCTCGATGGTCTTATCTGCTTGTTCGCACTCCCTGTAGAGTGCGGATTCTGACAGCTTCATGATATGGAGATGCTTCCGTACTTAGCAATGACTAGGCGCAGGTTATGTCTAGTCATAGTCGAGTATTTGTTTGCTGTAGTGTTGTGAGGATAAGAGTTCCATGCCAACTCTGCACTTTCTTGTTTCATCCCATCTTTCCTTGAATTTCACAAGGGAATGTTCTTTAATTAGGACTGTCACTACCGATTTTGTCAGGCCAATAGAAGGGCCAGGTTCTTTGGTTGGCTGCCTTCTTGGCTAGTGAATTAGCAAGACGGTTACCTTTCGATGTGGCGTGACCTTTGATCCATCTTAAGGTGACAACATTGTTGATGAATACTTCAGCCAAAGCTTCGTGACATTCTAGTACTAATCCTTAGTAAATTAGTGGTCTGTTCAGGGTGAGTAGTGCTTGTCTCCTATCTGTATAGATGAGCATGTTTTTTCTAGTGATATTGTTTCTGGTGATTTCTTTTGCTATCAGAATCCCGTGAACTCTGTTTGAATTACACTGAGTTAGAAACTCCAGATGCGCGCCACGGTTCGGCGGCATTATTCATAAGCAATCTATGCTCTTTTGACTTTGTTTTCTAAGTGTGAATTCCATGAAAACTTGCTGTCAAAGGTGAGACATAGGTACTTCACCTCCGTTGCAAAGTTTAGTTTTCTGTTTAGAAGTTCTGGAGGTTTTAATTCCATTTTCGTTCTTTTCCTTGTGAAAAAGACCATTTCTGTCTTCTTGGGATTGATAGATAGTGAATGGTCGTTGCACCACTGTTCAATAATTTTGAGAGCTCCTTGCATTCTTTCTTAAAATTCCCGGTTCTCAAAATGATCAGGTCATCTGCATACGCTATTGTGTAGTAACTGTCGTTATTAAGGCGGCTGATGAGGGTGTGGAGGACCATGTTCCACAGTAGAGATGATAGCACCCCTCACTGTAGCCATTCTCTCGCAACCAAGCGAATGGATTGAAATTAATATGATTTTCACATAAAACTGCTTATAGCGTGTGAAATACCCTAATTCCATACTATTCAAATATAAAATAAAATAAAATAAAGGGTGTCCCATTTAAAAACTTAATTTTGGTATATATCACTCTTCTGGAGGTCCCTGTAAAATTTAAATCTCGTTGTGAAAACATATTAAAAAAGCATTAGGTTTTGACCCACCCTGTATATTGATATGAAATATTCAACTTCCTGTCCTATTTCTTCTATTTCTTTAACTTCTTCTATCTGCATTCCTTTATTATTTTCCACCTCTTAGATCCATTCGATTATTACACTCTTTAATTTGGTTCTTCATTCTTACTATCAACAATTTTGGGTGATCTTTTCAAAACTCACTGAATTTATCTTAGAAACTATGTTTAGTTTTGGTCACAACTTTTTATATGCAATTTATATATCTTCCTTTTTTTGTACTTTCCTTTATTTGTAATCTGTTTTTTATAATATTCATATTTACCTATGTTTTTTATTTCGGCTCCATCCATCATACAAAAATGTTAAACAAATAAGACCTTCTTCTCTTAATATTGTTATTTAAAAATATTCAACTTAACAATTCTCATAACAATGGTATAATTTTACTCATCAGTTTCTATCAAATCTGACTCAGAACATTTAATTTCCAGTTTTGACTTTTTAATATTATTCTTAATTTTATCAATAGCTACTTGTATATAGGTATCTTTATGATAATAATCACAATTTTCTAAAATATGAAGGAATCTTAAATTTACAATAAAAAATCACATTTATTATAATTTACCAAAATCACATTTTATACAAATTCATATCGTAGCGTTACGTTCTGTAAATTATGTCATTGAATTCCAACACAACCCTCTGCAAGAAACTCAATAATGCAAGGGTCAATAACCTGTTCCTGCTTTTAATATTTGGGGAAGCTGCTGCACAATGCACTTCAATATTGCAAACTGGGGTTGACAATGGTGCATTTATACAGTGACAGCGGTTCTAGTAACTTCGCAAGTTTTTATTTATGTATGTTGCCTTGCTATTTCGAGTAATTCTGTTTTCAAGAATTTAGGAGGACTGATAATACACTGGGCGTCACAGAAAACGGGCCATCTAAAAACAATTCATCTTTTTGAATATATCTTATTTTTATAACAATAAATCTATTGTGTATTAAGTCAGTAATTGTTTTACCATGTTATCCGATGTTACCATAAGTCACAAACGAAAAGAAAGCAAAAAATTAAGAAATCATAAAATTATTGAAAAAATTACAGTTATACTTCCTTGCGTCCGCTATTTTCCTTAAATAATCATGTTTCCACGCAATGATTTCGTCTTTCTCTGTTAAAAAGCTGTTTCTGTCACGTTTTTTGTAACGAAAATGTAATTCGTGAAATATTTTTTCCAGATCAAAATGTGATATCTATATTCTCTATTTCTGAATGTAGTTTTTTTAGTAGTCTTTTCGAAGATTATTACCATAAGTACGATATTTTTTTCTTCTAAAGATAATGCTTTATGTCCACTAGGTCGTTTATAACTGTAAAATTATAATATATACTAATACAAAATTCCAATTAAAATACATACGATACGGCTATGAATGAATAAAGTCTGACTTATCTGTCAAAAGAAAAGGTTTATTACAAGAAAAATCTTGGAAACATGATTAAATCTAAACGAAAACTTTTATTATTTCGATCAGATGTATTAAAATTTTCATTTTAACTACAAATAAGCATTAAAGGATGAGATATAAATAAAATATCTACCTCTTGAACCTGAAAATTAAATTACTGACCTCCTTGCCTCTCTAGACTATTTAAATATGTGGTCATATGACGGAAAATTTCCCCCTCTATGGGTTAGGCCGGAAACTTTTTATACCATCCTCGTATTATATAAATGCTTAATTTTGAGAATGTTTTTATTTACAAAACTGAAAGTGAAAATTGATAATTTGTGTTTCCAACCAATAATTTGGGACGTGATTAATATAACATATAGGTTTTTAAAACCATTCTTAATCAAATCTCCCTGTGTGTATTTTTTTAATATTACATAATTTTATAGAAAATTAATTTCTTTTTTTTTGTTACAGCTCATAATCTTTTCCATTCTGGCGTTGAGATGGACTCGCAGCAACAGCAGTTTTGTCTAAAATGGAACAGTTTTGGATCAAATTTAGCCACATCTTTTAGTAATTTATTTAAATCCGAAACGTTAGCAGATGTAACTCTATTCTGCGACGGTAAGTTTTTGTTTATTTAATTGTTATATGTGTATGATATGGTATGATTTTTTTTTCTCCTTGTCTCGTCTGACTATGTCTCCGAATAACAGTGAAGCCTATTGGCTTATTGTGTTTTACCCCATGTTAGTTCATAGCACCCACCTTTGTGCCTTTGTACCTTGTACAAGTTTGTACTGATATTTGGGTGAGTAGGTTCTATATGTTATTGGATCAACCTGGGGTAGTCCAAAAAATGCCTGTCTTTTGCAATCTAGAGCTTCGCATTGGCACAGTATGTGTTTTGCCGTTTCTGGTTTCTTGTGACATAGTCGGCACATGAGTTCCCCATTGTACATGCCAATTTTGTTCAAGTGTCCCTTTACTGGGGCGTGCCCAGTTATGAACCCTGTTATCACTTTCAACTGGTTCCTATTCATAAAGAGTAGTTCTCCAGTTCTTTTGGGACATGGTCTGCCTATGAAGACTTTTCCATGTGGCTATTTTGGGGTGCTTCCCCAATAGTTAATATGTTGTTCCCGAATTCAGTCGTTTATGAAACCCCGGACTGTACTTTTTGGTACTTCTGGGTTTGTGTCTGGTTCCGGTGTTTCTTCTGACCCTCTTTTTGCAAGTTCGTCAGCCTTTTTGTTGCCTTCGATCCCTTGGTGACCTGGCACCCAAAATAGTTTTACTCTATTTCGGTCTGCCAATGTTCTTAGTTCTTCAATGCATTCCCATACCAGCGTCGACGTAACTTTCTGACTCGATATGGCCTTAAGTGCCGCTTGGCTGTCTGACATTATTTAAATATGCTGATTTTCGACAGCTCTTTCATTGTTCGTTTTTGCACATTGCAAAATTGCGTATACCTCGGACTGAAATACCGAGGAATGTATTCCTATAGCATAGCTATGGTTAGTATCAGGGGTTTTGGAGAATACTCCAGCCCCAGTGCCTTGTGAAGTCTTAGACCCGTCTGTATACCAGGTTTGTTCTTGTCGTTGAGCATTAGGCTCCCTTATGATGATCTCCGCTCTTTACTCTATTAAAACCTCAAATGGAGTATTAAAAGAGTACCTCTTGGTTATGTGGTCTGATTTCATGTCTAGCACGTCTCCTGTCACTAACCTTGAAATACTCATGTGACCTGGTCTAACGTCAAGATTTCCCAGTGTATTCCCTAATCTGTAAGCACCTAATCTTGCCTCCCCTTGTATCACATAGTGCTTCCATTGCAGCTGTGGGGGTTGTTTTCATTGCCCCCGTTATTACGAGGCAGGCAAGTCTTTGTACCTTACTTAACCTCGTTATTGCTTTCCTTTGCTGTGTCTGGCCACCACACCAAAGCTGCGTATGTTATTATCGGTCTCACCACCATGTTATAAAGCCAATATACCATGTCTGGTTTTAACCCCCATTTTTTTCCAAAAGATCGCCTTGCCATCATTACCGAAGTTTCCGCTCTCCTTGTGGTTTTTTCTAGATGCTGGTTCCAGGTAAGTTTCGAGTCAATCATAGCCCCGAGATATTTTACCTCCCCCTTAAGTTGTATGCTTGCACCTCTTAGGTTTAGAGGCCCTAGTCCCTCCAATTTTCTCCTGCGGGTGAATGCAATTATATCAGATTTGTTTGGGCCAATGTTTAGTCCTTCGGCCTCTGTCCATTTTGTTACTATATTTAGAGCCTCTTGCATTCGATGTCTTACTATAATGTTGTATTTTCCCTGTGCCATGATCACTAGATCATCGGCATATCCCAGGGTTTTGTCCCTTATCTTTGAGAGCGCTAAGCAGCCCCCCGTCCACTACAAGGTTCCACAGGAGTGGAAACAGCACTCCACCCTGCGGACATCCTCTCGCTACCCGTGCCGCTATTGCCTCTTCCATAAGAGCTATGTGTATAGTTCTCTCCCTTAACATAGAGTCGATCCAGGACACGCACGTGTCCTTGATTCCTCTGTGTTTGAGAGATCTAATGATCGATTCAATGGAAATATTGTCAAATGCACCCTCGATATCCAAGAATGCTCCCAGCATTACCGCCTTGTTTTCCAGTGTGTTCTCCACCCCTTTTATTAATTGATGGAGAGCTGTTTCAGTTGATTTCCCTGCACTATAGGCGTATTGGTCTTGGTATATTGGCCCCTGAACCAATATCCCGGCTCTAATATGCCTATCTAGCAGTTTTTTCAAAGTTTTAAGTACAAAGGATATAACACTTATTGGTCTTTGCCGTTTCCTGTCCTATTTTCCCAGGTTTTGGTTTAAAAGTTACCCTAATATTTCTCCAAGCTTTTGGTATGTGTCCAAAGGCCAGGCTACTTCTGAGTATGTTACAGTCTGCTGTATAAAATATCAAGATCTCTTTGTAACATTATTGGATAAATCCCGTCCATGCCCGGTGATTTATATGGTTCGAATGAGCTAATTGCCCATTTCAGTTTACCATAGTTCACCACTTGTTTGGCTAACCTCTAATCTTCCCTGTTGGCTCTATTATGAGCTTCCAGTCCGTTTAGATTCCGGTTAGTCGGTGTGTATGCTATGGTTTGTGCACGAAGGAAGTGGATCCTGAAGAGCTCCCTTACTGTTTCCTTCCCTGTGATTGTGTACTCCCCCAGTTCATTCTTAAGTATGATATGATTAGGTGAGTGAATGAAGTTCTCGTATAAAAATATAATTATTATTGTAATTTTTTTTTTTTCACCTGCTTACTGGCCTCTCTTCGGAAAATGATGCTCTAATCTCTAATGAATTTGTTTAATTTCGGAATATACAAAACTAATTGATCGAATTTTAAAACACTGATTTTATTTTTAAAAAGCTGTCAAATTTACTAACTCAATTATTGAAAAAGAATAAAATTGCAGGTCAATCTACTTACTAAATTCTTAGAACCAAGATTTTGACTCTGATACACGTGCCTAACTAAATAAATTAAATTTCGGATATGAAATATTTACGTCATATTTGTAGAAATTAACTCGACATAACCAGTTGTTTATATTAAAATTTTGATTTCTTATCAGACCACAGTTATCAATGTGTTTTGGGTTCCTGCCTAAATTCAAGGATTTTTTATCGAAATGTGCCTCTGAGTAGGTAGAGTGAACTATGTCAAGATATTTTAATCTAATTCTTTTCTAGTTCACGATGAGCTTTAAGAATTACGGATACATTGGCGTACAGCATTATTTTTTAAATTTATATTTGCACTAATAGTTGGACGTACAATAGCTAGTTGAAACAGGTAATAGTTAATGTTAAATGGCTATTTAAATTAACTTTGAAAGGCTGTCGTAAAATTGGCATTAATTTAAAAAGCTAGACATTTATACAAAATTTTATATCTCAAAGGAAAATAATGGGTCGATTTTAAGAAAATCTATAAGATCTGTAAGCCAAAATCTTTAAAACATTACTATACCTTACAGATTCTGTAGCTTATAGAATATTTCCCAGAATCCTACCATTACTATACTAGTTTATTCTATTTGAAATTTATAAACTTGTAATATGGAATTGGTTCACTAATTTTGAAGATTTTAAATAAAAATACAATTTTTTAACATTTTAAAAGTTAGTAAAAAACGCTCAAAGATATAAGGCTTATTTTAAAATGTGCGCCTTTTAAATTAACTTTAATAATAATAATAATAATAATACTCTCCCTAATTCACCCCCTTACGAGTGAATTTCAACCCCTGAAGTCGACTGAACGACTTGTGTAGGGGAAGGGACGGCTATTATTATTATTTGCCGTGGCGCTCCGGGGCGACTTAAGGATGATTGATGGTGCCATTTGACTTACGGGTGAGGAAAACCCGGAAAACCTCACCCACCATCATCGAGACGATAATGTATGGCGATTTTATAATATGCATGTCATATCAACAGAAATTTAATTTCCATTAATACGGCACACATCAAATCCTAAATCGAACCATGCAATTTAATTAAAAATCCACATGGTCCGGTCTGGGATTCGAAACCCAGCAGTCTCGGACTCATAAACTCGCCTATAAATGAATATAAGCGCGATAGACCGCTACACCATCGACCCGAAATGTCCTATTTTGATAACGAGTTAATATTTGAGGGATGAGCGAAGCAAGGTTCCGTAAAATGAACGAGGTATAGGAGCAATAACTATAGAATTGCTCTGAAAACGTTTATGAAACTATATTTATAGGATATTTTACTCAAAAGTTCTTTGGAAACAGTCTTTAAGAAAATTATTTTCTAATATTTGACCTTCATATTGGGCAGTTCTACATTAGTCCTTATTGGGTTTGTTTTGGTTCAAACAGACCCGTCGATTCCAGTTCTCAAATACAGTAGATGAATTATATTTTTAAGAACACGTCTCGAGGTTATAACAATCTCTGAGTTGATCGAGTGTAATTCAGTGATTTTGAAAAACAAAACAAGCCTATACTATTATTGCATTACAGAATTATTAATAAGCAATAACATAGATTTGTTTATTAAATTATGTCCAGCTAATCCGAAGTTTTTTTTGATATAATAAACATTACCCCACTAATGAATTTCATGCCTAACAGATATTATTCTTGTTAGAATGCAAGTAGCTCAAAAAATTATCGAAAAGTGGTACGGACCATTCACTGTCTATCAATCCTAAGAAGACAGAAATGGTCCTTTTCACAAGGAAAAGAATGAAAATGGAATTAAAACCTGCAGAACTCCTAAACATAAAACTAAACTTTGCAACAGAGGTGAAGTACCTAGGTCTTACCTTTGACAGCAAGTTAACATGGAACTCGCACTTAGAAAAAAGAGTCAAAGGAGCATACATTGCTTATGAACAATGCCGCCGAACCGTGCGGCGCACCTGGGGTTTCTCCCCCAGAGTCGTCGTATGGACTTACACCGCTATCATAAGACCTATGCTAACATACGGTGCAGTTGTCTGGGTACCGAAAACCCAGAAATTAACAGCTATCCGTAAACTAGAACAAATTTAAAGAACAGCATGCCTCAACATAACAGGCATGA